CAACCAACCAAGGATCAAAAATATTTGAAAAATAAAAATAAAAAAATACAATAAAAATAATATAAACTAAAAACAATACAACAATTCTTTACACAGCGTTTACATTGTATTAGATATTATCAGTAATCTAGAGATGATTGAAAGCATACAAGAGGATGTACATAGGTTATATGAAAATACTATTCCATTTTGTATCAGGGACTTAAGCATCCATGGATTTTGTTGTCCATGGGGTATCCCGGAAGTAATCCCCTATGCATATTAAGGGACAACTGTACTTGCCATCCGGCCCTTTACAGAAAAATTTGCCTACTCTCACCCCTAGCAGTAGTAAACGGCAGGGCCTGATTCCAAACCCAGGTTGTCTGACTCCAGAGACAACACTCATAACTCAGATATAAATAAACACTAGGTAGGCTTGGAATCCTGTTGGAGTGTTATGAAACTTTTCTATTTCCATTTTCCTAATTGCGTGTTTTTTTCATTTAAAAATTTCTAATGTTTGCTTCCAGCAATATGACAGACTCTATATCCTGAAAAATTCTCCCCCAAAAAGCACCTTTAAAATGCTGGATAAAATGAATAGCTAACTTGGCAAGAAATTAAAGTATCTTAATCCCCAGAGGCCAAAAATGAAGTTGGAAGCCAGAATTCAGAATAAGCATGGTAAATGTTCACTGGAGCAGGCATCAGACCCTGAGGGCATTTGCCAGTGTTTTGTAAATTAGAGCTTTTAGTTTTTACATCCATGTCGGGGGAAGGGGGACAGGGGAGGCAGGCGACAAAGCAGTGTAGTGTCCTGCATGGAGACTTTGGAATGAGTCCCCAAAGGCCCACATTCCCAATAAAATAGTGAACTAGAAAATATTTGCCATGCAAAGGAAATAGCAAAGAAAATTTTGCATCTTAGCCTTGATTTTGGTTGGAAGAAAAAATAAAAGTCCCTACCCTCTACCAGAAGTTACAAATAATCACCAGTCAGGCCTCAAGCCTGGGTTCAGATTCACTTTGTGTACCTATTCTGAAACTATTTTAAACAAACCAAAAAAATTAATTTAAAATGACCAGGCACTTGGCAAAGGTAAACACAAATGGAAGGAATATTCTCCAATTCAAGCCTCATAAAATTCTCACAGCTAATGCCTCAACAAAAATGAGCTCACAATTTTTTTACAAATCACAAGACCACCCATGGAGTAAGATATCATCAGACAGGGTTAGAAACATCAAGCAGTGGAATCAGACATTCAGGCAGGCTTTGGGTTGGAATTATCACATACAGCAAGGTTGGCAAACTTTGCTCTAAAAGGCCAGATAGTATACGTTTTAGGCTTTGCAAGCCATACAGTCTCTGTCAAAAAGACTCAGCCTTGCTATTCTAGTATAAAAGCAGCGATGGACAGTATGTAAATGAATGGGCTTGCCTGTGTTTTAATAAAACTATATGTACAAAACTGGAGAGTGTGCCAGACAGCTATAGCTTATAAGTAAATATGTCTTCAATATTTAATAAAAACTTTAAAAACATGAGCAACGAACAACATACTGTTATAAAAGAATCAAAGAAGATTCTCAACTTCTGGAAGTAAAATAGTTGAATTTTTAAATTCAACATATGACTTGACTAACGAATTAGAAATGAAATCCATAATTAATAAATTGAAAGGTGACTAAGCCAAAACTACTTGAATATAGTACAGAGAGAAAAAGAGAAGGATATCATGTTATAGACATGAAAATTTAAGTGAGAAGTTCTAACAATTATCTAATAAAAGTTCCAGAAAGAGTGACTAGAGAAAATGAGATGGAAACAATATTCAATAATTTGTGTGGCTCCTTATATTAAGGAAGTACAAAAAAATTCTAAAACGTATTCACACCCAGAAATGAAAGAATATTAAAGACAAATTGAATAGCTTAAAAATAAGACAGCTTTCCTGTTTTACATCTAACTTCTTATCAATATAAGCAGAAGCCAAAAGATGATGTCTTCAAATACTGGGAAAAATGTTTCCATTTATAATTGGATACCCAGTAAAACTTACCTTTCATGGGAATGCAATAGAATATATTTAGGTGAACAAAAGCCAGGATAATTTACTATGGACAGATCTTTAGTAAAGGAACTTCTTGAGGATATATATAATTTGGAAAGAAGAAAAAGGACCCCAGAAGGGAAATGTGAGCTGTAAGTTGAAAGAAAGATAACGTGATCAAAGACATTTGTAGTTACATGGATACATGTAAATAAATATCAACACTAATAAACCTAATTTGTGAAGTTATAAAAATCAGAGGTTGGGGGAGATGAGCTTCTAAAACAGAGGTCATAGCCTGTTTTTTAAAATGGTAAATATATGAGTGTACATATGTGTGTATAAACACACATACATGTTGTAAACTCTTCTATATATGATACATTTCACAAGACTTTTTTTTTTTTTTTTTTCGAGACAGAGTCTCGCTCTGTCGCCAGGCTGGAGTGCAGTGGCACGACCTCAGCTTACTGCAATCTCCACCACCTGGATTCAAGTGATTCTCCTGCCTCAGCCTCCTGAGTAGCTGGGACTACAGGTGCGCACCACCACTCCCTGATAATTTTTGTATTTGTAGTAGAGACGGGGTTTTACCATGTTGGCCAGGATGGTTTCGATCTCTTGACCTCATGATCTACCCACCTCAGCCTCCCAAAGTTCGGGGATTACAGGCATGAACCACTGCACCAAGCCCACAAGACCTTTTAATAGAAATAAAATACTAGACAATACCAGCTTATAAGCTGAGAAAGAGTTAAAATATTCTAAGTTTTAAGAGGGTGAATATAATTAATAACTTTAACCATTAAAAAATTAAAATCTATACATTCCAAAATACTAAAGGAGAAAAATGGAGTAGGAATTTTACAGGACAAATAGAAAGTGTAAGAAGATAGTGAAAATAAATCCAAATATATCAATGATCATAATTAAATAAAAATGAATTATACTTGTCAGTTAAAAGACAGTTAATTTCTTAAAGTCCAACCATAGTCTTTTTATAAGAAACACAGGTAAAGCAGAAGTACACCAAATGTTTGAGAGTAAAATAATGGGAAAAGCTACATAAGGCAAGTGAATTTTTCCAACAAGCAAAAAATAACTTCCTGTTTGCTATTTGGTGTAACCACTGAATCCTCATACAAAGGATATGTTAGTTTCATATATCATAATGAAACTAAGAAAAGAAATAAATGTAAAATGAGAAAGCAGGGAAAAAACTTAGGTTAAGGATTAATATTCTCTGACAAATTTAAAGATCTGGAAAAGCTGATTTTTAAATTAGCAGTTCCACCAGTGCTAAAACTATGGAATTCCAGCAAGCACTGATGGCAACCTGGGGCTGAATGACATGAGTCAAGACTAAATGTATCATTTCTCAAATTTGGGTCAACTTTCTTAATAAAGGAATTTACAAAATAAAATCAGATCACATTTCAAAATAACTTGCATTTGGAGACAAAAGATGCTGTGATCACTTTCAATCGTATTAATAGTGCTCTTTGAAATGTATGAGACATTAATTTAAACACAAAGATTCTAAGAAAAAATACAAAAATTATTTTGAAGTGTGAATGAGTTTGACTGTTTTTAAGATTCAGGAACAGCCGGGGGGGGGTGGCTCAAGCCTGTAATCCCAGCACTTTGGGAGGCCGAGGTGGGTGGATCACGAGGTCAAGAGATCGAGACCATCCTGGTCAACATGGTGAAACCCCATCTCTACTAAAAATACAAAAAATTAGCTGGGCATGGTGGCACGTGCCTGTAATCCCAGCTACTCAGGAGGCTGAGGCAGGAGAATTGCCTGAACCCAGGAGGCGGAGGTTGCGGTGAGCCGAGATCGCGCCATTGCACTCCAGCCTGGGTAACAAGAGCGAAACTCCGTCTCAAAAAAAAAAAAAAAAGATTCAGGAACAACAATTTATGTATAAAAGTGGACAATTTGCTGCATTAAAATAGAGGTAGAGCTAAAATGTGAAGTTTATGTATAACGAAATGATTTTATAGTTATTTTAGTGACATGGGGAAATATCCATGATGTAATTAGTTAGCAAACAAAACCATATATGAAACTGTATATAAACAATAAAAATATATTTAAATGCCATAAAAAGTGTCAAGAAACAGGATTGGGAAGAAAAACAATGGAATACTAAGAGTGGTGGGAAAAGGAGTGATATTGTATTTTCCAAGGCTTTTTTTTTTTTAACAATGACGACTTTTATAATCAGATAATAGAATAATTTTATTTTCAGTCTTTAGTATTTTTTGTGTTTAGATATATTATGGTCCAGAATCCCAGTGAATAAAGAGGTGAAAAATAAATTCTCCAAAGAGAAAACATGGCAAGGCTTTAAAAGAATGTTTTAAAAAAGAAATCACTAGCCTAATTGGTAGGTAACTTGATATAAAGTAACTTCTTCACTTCTGGTCTCAAGAAAGCTCAGCAAAGCCAGTCCCAGAGGTTGCTATGGCAATGGAGGTAAACCTGATTAAGTCAGCACTTACTCTGCTTTCTAAGGTAAGGCCAGGGGGAAGAACACGGGATTCTTTCTATTTTTGAAATGGAGTCTCTCTCTGTCACCCAGGCTGGAGTGTAGTCGGGCAATCTCGAATCACTGCAACATCCACCTCCTGGGTTCAAGTGATTCTCCTGCCTCAGCTTCCCAAGTAGCTGGGTCTACAGGCACCTGCCACCATGCCCAGCGAACCTTATATTTTTAGTAGCAACAGGGTTTTACCATGTTGGCCAGGCTGGTCTCAAACTCCTAACCTCAGGCGATCCACCCGCCTCGGCCTCTCAAAGTGCTGGGATATAGGCATAAGCCACCAAGCCCAGCCTAGGATTCTTGAATCAGAAATTCCCACTCTGTGCCTCTGTCTTCTCTCCTCTCCTTTCTCTTCTCCCTCATTTGTCCCTCTTGCCTCCCCAGTTCTCCCTTTTTCCCATCTTTTCCTCCCCACCTCTTAACCTCCACTGCACTTGACGCCATCAGACTGTGTTCTTCTTGACTGCCCTTTCTGGGACCTCTCAGGGCGCTGCATTTTCCTGAGTGCCTTCCTCACTGGAAGTTCTGGAGGGCATCATTTCTGGACTCATCATTTCTGAGTGTGCCCTTGGTGCTCAAAATCTGTCTGTGGGCGGTACCAAAAAATATTTGTTGACCAAATGAATGCATGCATGAGTGAGTGAATGAAGACAGTCCCTCAGTCTCTTCTGTGGGCTCCTCTTTATCTGCTCACCCTTAAATGAGGACATTATTCTCCAAGATTTCATGCTTGGTTGCTTTTTCTTTCCATTCTGTACTTTTGTCCTGGGTGACCTCTCTTCCCTTCACCTTAGGTAACATTCAGGTGAAAATGAGCCCCAACTTTTCAATGCTACCACATTTTTCACATCTGTATTTCCACTGCTTTCAGTTGAACCTGTGTTCACCCCATATTCAACTTGTCAAAAACCTCATCCTTTTCTTCCCCATTGTTCCTCTTCCTAAGAGCTCCAGCTCCATTGACAGCACCACCATCTCCTCGACATCTGGATTTAGGCTCAGAGGAGCCTTTTACTCTCCTCCTACCCCCCTGATTCCTGTCTACTGAGCGTGGCCACACTCTGGAAGTTCATCCTTTCTTTCAATTCCATTCCCACCACCCCGTGCCACTTCTCACCAAGATCATCAGCAAACCCTGGGAAGTTTCCTTACTTTGAATCTGCACTTCACATGGCTGCTGGGTTTCCTAAACCACAGAACTCCTCATTGTCCTGTCATGCTCACAAACCCTTTCTGTTTCCCATGGCCTCCAAAATAAAGCCCAGGCACACAGGCTCCTCTCCGTCTCATTTGATCTGTCTTTCTTTCCTGCCTCATCACGCTTCCCCATAGCCCCCCTCTGCCATCTTCAGTCTGTCTGTCTCTATCCTCTCCATCTCCCTCCCCATCTCCCTCTGCATCTCTAAGAGCCTCGTCAGGTTTCTGCAGCCAACACTCCCTTCATGCTGCCTCCATGACCACTGACATTTCTCACTGCTCTCTTCTCAAATTGCTCCTCCTCCTCCAGGGCCCATATCAAGCATCACCTCTTCTGAGAAGACTTTTCCCAAACCTTCAGTGAGGATGAAGGGCGCTCTCCCTGTGGTCTGATACCATTTGATGGTGCCTCCATGAGGGCACAGCCCATGGTAGTCAGGTGCAGGTGGGAGGGCGGATGGAGACAGTGAGGTGCTCCTGAAGAAACAGAGCACAGGGATAGACGGTTTCTTCCCTAGAGTGAGCTCATAAAACAATGTGTCATGGGAAAGAACAAAGTGCCTGCTAGCTCAAAGGAACAATGCCTTTTACTAGCAACAGCTGTATCCTCTAGCCAGTGACGTTAAGGAAGCCGCAGAAGGTCTGCGTGAACAGAAGCAGGGCTGTTAGAGGAGGGCCAGAGTCAAGGAAGCACATTCTTGCATTTTTCCATCTTTTCCAGGGGAGGACTATTCAGGTTAGGGTGGGGAGGTTGGATTTCAGGCACTGGAGCGGTGGCATCCAGCAAGGGACAGGGCTAGAGTCTCCCCTCCTCTCACCTTAACCTGAGCAAACTATTCTAGGGCCCCCTGCTGTCTAGTCATGCTCATCAGAAAGTCTCAGTGTAAGTAGTCACACTTGAATGTGTGCTGTATTCTGTAGAAAGGGTGGCTCTCTAGTAATTACTCTAGTCCTAGAAAGGGCTATTCCACGCAGCATGCTCATTTCTAGCCTGTAAGTCAGTCTGTGGTTTGGGCATCTGTCAGTCCATCACAAACTCTGTGGTCATTCCCAGCTCTAGTTTCTGGGCCTGCAAGTCATGGAAACACCCCTGGGAGGCAGCCAGCCAGCTGTCCCCCTCAGCACCCATGGATCACCCTATTCAAGACGCTACAGCCAAGAATTAGAGTTAACTGCGCACAGCACTGTCCTCCCGCAAGACCAGAGGTTGGCAGGCCTTTTCTGTTGAGGGCTATCCAGTCAAACATTACAGGTTTTGTGGGTGATAAGGTCTCTGTCACAACTACTTAACTTTGCTCTTACCGTGGGTACTCACCAGCCAAAGACAATATGTAAACAAACAGGTGTGTCTGATTCCAGTAAAACATTATTTACAGAAATAGCCAGATTGGCCCACAAGCCATACTTTGCCAATTGCTGCAGCAGGTCATGAGTTCCTGACAGTAGTAACTGTGTATTTCCTCTTTGGTATATTACTCATATACACCTAGGGCATATCACATGCTCACTGTGTCTACAGAATTGGACTGAATGCTTTTCTCCTAAATGGCCCACAGGCCTTTGCATAGTAGTGATCACAGTGAACAGAGAACTAACCCATCTGAGGGAACCTTAGAGGTACCCTCCTTGTCAGCAAAGAGATCCTTCTATAATATCCTTGACTCGTGACATCTAGTCAGCGTCCTTCTGCAATGCCTCTGCCTTTGCATAATCATCCATATACTCACCTGATAGCTGTTGCGGACTGTTAGCATGTCCAACCCATGTGTGATGACCTGGAAGAAGGATGCATCCCTCTTGTGTTGACTGCCTTCCAAGAGCTACTCAGTACATTCTTACTATACAACTGATTATACTAGCACACTAATATTGTGAGCCAATTTCGGCAGAAGCTGTTTGTTTTCTGCAGAAATTTTAAGTAAGCAAAATAAGGATCTGAAGCAGAGAAGACATGTTATCTACTAAAAGCAGATAGTGGGCCCTGCAGTGGCAGTAAACTCAGCTGTGATGCCACCTGCTTTCTGCTGGCTGGGATGCAGGCTGCAGCCTTGCCCAAGAGTCAGTGGGCAAATGGTGCTCCTCCCAGCTTGGCTACTCAAACCTGGGGATCTCAGGGAAGCCTGCCAACCCTGGCAGCTCTCAGGGGGCTGTTTGGGTTCTTTCCAATGCACACGTTCACACTGGAGCAAGCCTCAGCATGTGGACCTGGGAGACAGACTCCCTTTGGACAGTGAACTCCTGAAGAACAGAGAATGATAATTATCTTTGAATCCTAAGCAGGTAGAAGAATTCTGAGAACACAGCAGGTGCTGGATAAAATTCCCATGTGTTGCTTTGAGGAGCATTTTTTTTTAAGGAGACGGAGTCTCACTCACTCTATTGCCCAAGCTGGAGTGTAGTGGCATGATCTCGGCTCACTACAACCTCCACCCCCTGGGTTCAAAGGATTCTTCTGCCTCAGCCTTCTGAGTAGCTGTGACAACAGGCGCCCGCCACCATGCCCAGCTAATTTTTGTATTTTTAGAAGCAGGGTTTCGCTGTGTTGGCCAGGCTGGTCTTGAACTCCTGACCTCAAGTGATCCATCCACCTTGGCCTCCCAAAATGCTGGGATTACAGGCGTGAGCCACCACGCTCAGCCTTTGGGGAGCATTTCGGAATCCCCGTTACCTGATGCCTCTCACCTGAGTCTGGCCTTGGCAGTGCCACCCTAACAGGAGCTGCACTTGATGTGTCTTCTTCACAATACCAATTCTGCACTTTTCTATAACACTTTAAAATTTGCAAAGTGCTTTCACGTGGCTTTTCTTTTTTGAAACAGAGTCTCGCTCTGTCACCCAGGCTGGAATGTAGTGGCACAATCTTGGCTCACTGCAACCTCCACCTCCCAGGTTCAAGCAATTCTCCTACCTCAGCCTCCCGAGTAGCTGAAATTACAGGTGCACCACCATGTCTAGCTAATTTTTTGTATTTTTAGTAGAGACGGGGTTTCGCCATGTTGACCAGGCTGGTCTCGAACTCCTGATGTCATGACCTACCCTCCTTGGCCTCCTAAAGTGCTGGAATTACAGGTGTCAGACACCCTGTCTGACCTCTCTTTTTTAATTCACAGGGAAATCCTATATAGAAAAAGTATTTCACATGTCCCCAGGCCTCACCAACTTGTGAGGTCCCATTACAATGAAGCCTCCATCTGTAGAACCACAAGCCCTCAATAGCCCTGATCCCCGCCACCCCCCATCCTCATCACTTGAAGTCACTCTTATTGCCTTCTAGGCATCCCAGAAGCTGTCTCAGATTGGCTCATGGATAAGTACACACACCCCTCTACTCTCTGGGTCCTCAGAGTTGCTCATTTATGGCCTTCAAGCCATCTGAGAGCAGCACTTTGCTGCTGGTGTTTGCCCTGAGCCCTTAGGGTGCAACAGATTTTTGGTGGAATGAGCAACAGTGGCTCTGCTCCATCTTCAGGTGAGACTTTTGTCACCTAGGCTTTTTTTTTTCTGAGACAAAGTTTTGCTCTTGTCACACAGGCTGGAATGCAATGGAACAATCTTGGCTCACGACAACCTCTGCCTCCTGGTTCAAGCAGTTCTCCTGCCTCAGCCTCCCGAGTAGCTGGGATTACAGGCATGCACGACCATGCCTGGCTAATTTTGTATTTTTAGTAGAGGCAGGGTTTCTACATGTTGGTCAGGCTGGTCTTGAACTCCCAACCTCAGGTGATCTGACTGCCTCAGCCTCCCAAAGTGCACGGATTACAGGTGTGAGCCACCACACCCGACTACCTAGGCTTTAAGTCTATGCTGTCCTTCAAACCCCACTCAATTAGGCCAGAGGTCGGGGGGAGTCTGGAACAGGGAAACTTACGCCCAGGATGCGGGACAAGGCATGGGACACAGTGGTCATACCACCCTTCCATTTTCCTCCTGCCGTCTCTTAGATCCCCACATTCAAAGACACCTATTATAGAAAATCCCCTTTCTCCTCCAGTGATAAAAGAAAACTCCTCATACATTATTATCACATTTGCACAAATGGCTTGAGAGATGGGTCACTTGTGGCCACATCTAATTTCTGCTAAGCTTCAGCCAGCCCTGATATCTAGGCATTATCTTCCCATGTTATGGCTAACAAAATTGAGATTTACAGTTCATATAAGTAACTGAATAGGAGAGATGGGGCTTGACCCTCTTGAAGCCCTCCTCCTTTCAATCTACTACAACTAAGCAAATTATCGTCAGCCTCATCTCCTCATTCAACGAGATGTGGTCCATCTTCTAGGTTTTAAAATGCCAAAGTGAAACTCTGGCCCGTTCCTGCTTCCTCCTTCCTCCTCCCATGCCTGGTTATTTGGCAGAGCCAAGAAGTAGGATGATAGTTGATCAGTTTCAAGAAAAAGTCACTGGCATAGGCCATTAATGCAACAGGGTATTTTCTTTCTAAAAGTGATTTTGGCAGAAGCTGGTTGTTTGCTGTAGAAATATTAAACAATTGAAATAAGGACCCTGATTGCATTTCCAAACAAGTAAAAGCTGCCTCTGTTTAGCTCATGCTTCTCTCTAGAAAGTGGAAATTTTTATAACCGAAG